CCACCGGCACAAAAAGGCGGCCCGGTTCGGCTGGTCAAGGTTCGCTTCAATCGCAAGATGTTCACGGAGCAGTCTCAAGGCCAGGCCTGGTGGAACATGCACAGGGCGACATTGGCGGAGATGTACGAGCTGACCTTCAACATGGGGAACAAGGTACGTGCAGGCGACCAGTGGCTGCGTGTGTCTGTCTGTCTGTCTGTCTGTCTGTCTGTCTGTCTGACGACAGTGCTTCTGGCCGAGACACGATAATCAGCCAACATTGCACACAGAACAGGGGGCAGCAAACGGATAACCCACAGAAGGCGCCAAAGGTGGAGACTCGAGAGAGGGAGCCGACAATCCAACCAAGGAAAGCGGACCCCCCGGAAGGCCGAGGCCGCCAGTGCGAAGAGGGACCTGCGGGGAGACGGGCCCGTCTATCGCAAGCGCAAAGGACAACACAATAGCTCGGCGACACCTCACCACACCACGTAAGCCCCATCCAGGAACAAAGGAAGGCTGCGCGGAGCTAGTCGCGTCAGTGCCAAGAAAGGCTAAGCCATCGACCTGGGCACGACAGCGGTACGGAAACGCATCAGAATGATCGCACATTCAGGAAAACCGGGAATCAGTGGTTTACATCTAAGTAATCTAAACCTAAGGAGAAGGAGATCAGTCGCGATGCAAGTAGGCAGATGAACAGGGCGTAAATCGCCCACGCACATTGGAGACCGCAGTAAGACGCAAGAGTAGCCAATAAATTTCCCTGTCATAAATGCAAGCATCTTACCGCCGCTCTGGACCCAAGGCTTAAAACTTGCGGACCACCGTCTATGCTTCAGTGAACAATATCTGTCACCTTCACAAAAAAGGGGCTGCCATACACATAATAACAGCCATGTTGTCGACTTATGCCGATACCAACCCTGATTCACTGTACTACTGCACAAAACCCAAGTTATAATCCAAGAATATCACAACATCCTTTCAGCACTAGTTGCAGCAGCATGCATGATGTGAGCTAGCCCTCCAGACCAGCTCCCACCCAACCTGCCTCACACCCAGCACCTGTGGCAGTCAAGCAGCTCCTTATGCTCCCAGAAAGGCATGTACAGAACCTCCGCAGCCTCCTTATCCATCTCCTGCAGGCCGAGGGAGGGAAGGGTGACAGGCCTTCATTCTCGCCTTCCTATTTCATTAGGTTCATTAGGAACGGATACCATAAGGTGGCAACTAATGCACGAATTGTTCTGGATGCTGTGTGCCAGGTGCACAAGTAAGGTCAGTGTATGGTGGTACACCTTCTAGTTCCATCTGAGCCCAAGATGCCTACCTTCATTGTCACATACACGGGTGAGGTCAACAGCACTCTGTGTGCTGCACAGGTGGTGTTTGGTGGCACTGCGTCGGCAAAGTACCTGGCAGGACAAGGTAACGAAATGCCAAGGACAGAATGGGCCCAATGAATGTGCTGGACAAACAGACCACGGCCTATAAGTACATCATCAGCTGTCATGACACATGTATGTATGTATGTATTAGA